CATAGCTCCTCTTTGCCCTATGATTCAGAGGAAAAGAGTGGTTGCGCGACTCCGCCTAAATTTCCGCCCACCCGCTTCCCGTGGAATGCGCCCTTCACAGAAATGTGGTGGAAGTGGATAGACCTTAGCTTCATGTGGCGTAAATGGACTGAAAACTAGAAGAGATAGAGTTATCCTTCGTTTCTCGGATATTGAGTGAGCTTATTTTGAGAGAGCTGTCAGCGGTTCTGGTGAGATGTTGTCATTTTGCAGTTTGGCTTGGTGGGGGCATTTCACTGGTCCAAACTGGTCTCTGGCAACGCCTCCTTGGTTCTGTAAGTTGTTGTTAAGCTACGCGAAAACAGGAGTTTCGTTTACATCTGAAAAGGGTCTGCAGGTCTTATCAAGATCTGACGTGTAATTTGAGAAGAACTAGCGAAAGAAGCTAGTGAGGGACAGGGCGAATTGCCCCTCCCAACCCGGATAGCACCCAAATAATTTTGAAACCTGTTCATCCTATTTGGCGTACCTATCGGCAAGGAAGAGAATTGCCTCGGCCACATCATCAGGGGTTCCAGCGCGACCACTTGGCACACGTGAAGGCGATGAGGCAACAGCTTGCTCTGCCTAAATGTGAGTTTCAAATGGTAGGGGGGCTTACAAAACAAGCAGTGACACACAATAAGTCAGACCAACAAAATTTACAAACGAACTACCCCACCTTCCTAGCGACTTCTGGTGGAATTCCTTGTCGTTGTATGATATTTGTTGATATCATCCCTGGGCTGAAACCGTGTGAACTGGGGTCTTTTCAAGGATTCCACGTAAATATATCACAAAATCTCCTATCTACCTTATCCCGTTCACTCGAACACCTTTCTGGATATAGTAAACGGCCAGATTACGGGTTAGTTGGTCCTGCGCCGCTTTTGCGATACTGTAGTATGCAAAGGATACCGACTGAAATTATCTTATTGTACCACGACATAGAAACTCGAAAATGCCATTGTACAATGCTTTAGATGATGACGTCACTCACCGCCCCGTTCGGCTGGCCTGCGATACTGCTCACATTCACAATTTCACCCTTTGTCTCTGCCAAATGCGGTAGGGCTAGCTGACAGAGCCGTATGATGCTGAATACGGTAAGTACGGTGAGTACTTGATGAACGCGTTCTACCGTACCTTTTAGTATTCAGATTGAAAATGTAGTCAAAATTACTCAAGTCCATATCGAGTTCAGGATTTGGCCAGTTTGTGTTGTTGGTTCCACCAGCGTTGTTTACCTGGAATGGAGTAGGAAAGAATGAACGCCCACCAACTTCTCCACTCCCCCCCCCCGCCCTTCGGATCAATCTTTTACAAGGAGCGTTTCAAATTCTGCAAATCTGCAGAGGTATTGAAATAACTAAGGGAGCTACAGACAGTGTCTGCCACACATTAGCATTAAAGATATCCCCTACGCCCGGGTAATTCGTGGGTGACCCCCTTATACAAGTAGTCTGCACCCCAGTCTCTAATACTGTCACAGTTCCGCGGCTTCAGAAGAAGGAACGAAGGCGCTGTGGCTCTCTGTGGCCCCAAGGAGCAGTTCTGACGCCTTATTTGTTGCCCCGCCCACCAGAAATCGAAGGCCCTTTTTGTCACATGTTCGGTTTTACACTATATTTTTCGTTTTTTTTCACTGTTAGATGGTATAACGCGAGAACAATTAGTGAAGTGAGCCAGACGCTGTGAGGCGTTTGGTGGTATAGAACGAGCAGGTCCGGAAAACTCGTACAATAGGGTCCTCGCAGTGTGCTTCATGGTCTTTTTTGCTTTTTTTTCCTCTATTCTGGAGAGCAGCTTAGTGGCTATAGGCGCAAGGATGAAGTGCAGCGCTGTGCCCAGTCAGGCTGCGTTTATACCTTGAGGCAGCGTCCACCAGCGCCTTCCAGCGTCCACTAGCGTCTGACAGGTCAGCGACTAGGGAAGCATAAATATTGATCTAGCGTCTGCCAGCGTCCACCAGTGTTCGCTAGCGACCGCGAGAAGGGAGTATAGGGAAAAGGTTAGCAACAAACTATAGGGAAGAAGGAGGTTAGCAAACAGCTGGATTAGGCATCGCAAAATCGCCGTGTGCAG